TGTCCCCAAATCTATAGACATCTCATTACTTAGTCCAAACTAACTCATAATCTATAGATTTACGGAAACCTTACTTTTAGATATCATCTTGATCGCTTAACCCCTCTCTATGAAAACAATTGCCTCGTGACACCTTTTTCCAAATAGCATTTTAGTTTTAACTTCATAAGTTACACCATTCTCCGGTAACAAAAACAAAAAACCTTTGGTAAAGAAAAAAGAGCTACTTCTAATGAAATGAAATCTCCTTCCTCCCCCTCGTTTGGACATTACGACGGACAAATCTCCAGCTGAGAGAGAAAGGAGAATAAAGGTTCCCCTAAATCCTATGCTTCTATCATTCTACTATATATTTTCTAAATCAAAATTAAGTCTATTACATTATAGCTTAGCTTGTTTGATCTTTTCCTTTATGAGTATAGGAGGCGCTAGTCGGGACGCTAACAACAGGCTATTCAATAGGTGGACTCCAACAATCTAACGACCGGTCATGTCCGTCATTCCACAACACCGCTCATTTCCCATATCCGATAACCTGCAGAACGTTCCACTTATTATTCTTTACCGTATAGGGATCAGAATTGCCCGATGCCACGTGGCGATCCCCTGATAAAAATAATAATAATAATAAATAGCAAAACACACTTCGAATTGTAATAGTGGGGAACAATACATGGTTTTTAAGTGCGTCAATGAGACACCAATTAATTGATAAACAAAGCATGCTTTAGAAGCTAGCAAAACATGATCTAAGGGCTTACGTGTTCAATGCAGTATATTAAGCGATATCAGCAGAAGAAAAAGAAAAGAAAAGAAAAGAGAGAGAGAGAGATTTGATACCTCTAATTAAGGACACTCGATTAAGGATGAATCCCACGTGCGAGAAAAAGACCTGGCACGAATAGTTGGGAAGCGAAAGAAGCTTTTCCACACGCTTCACTTGGGGGAGCGCCCCAGTGCGCTTTTGGCCTTTCGCTTAATCAACTGATTACTCCATGTCCCCCCACGTGAGGGCTTAATGATCTCAAGGATAATCTAGACAAGCATTATTGCTATTTAAAAGGTACGTAAATTGCACTTAAGCTCCAAGAACTTTCAGAGTTTTATAGTAAACACCCAAAAACTTCCGAAATTGTACTAAACCCCAATAAATTTTGCAGAACAACCCCAAAATATTTTGAGTAAATTACGTTAAGCTCCCAATAACTCGCAGAATGCCTGTTCATGTTGTTTTTTGCTTCAAAACTATAGGTGTTAATGCGGAAACTTATTGGTGGCTTTATGCAATTCCAAAAGTTATTGTGGGGGTTTATCGTGATTTTGAAAGTGTTGGAGGGGTTTAACTGTAAATTGCTAAAAGTTCTTGGGGGGCTTAGTGTAATTTACCCTAATGTTAACTTATGTTCCTAAATTATGGACAGATTTCGAGTGCTCTTTATTTTTGGTTTAAAGTTTGATCAAAAATACCTCAGGGACCCCAAATAGGGGACCCAAGGGGGGACATGTGAGGTGTCCCCCCTGAATGCATGATGCACATTGATGTGCATCATGCATTCAGGGGGACACCTCACATGTCCCCCCTTGGATCTCCTATTTGGGGTCCCTTTAGCAGCACCCAAAGTTTGATATTAGAGAAATCACTTCTTTAAGTATAACAATCAATTAATATGTAGAATTTACTACCACCATATCCTTGATAATTGCACCTTTTTCACTTTTACCCAAGATAAATAATACACGTCACTTCAATAAGGCTAACAACTATAATCGAAAGAAGAGAGAAGTTATCTACTTCACGCTAAAGAAATACTAATCAAAGTTTTAATCAAGAAATCAACCCTCCTTTTCTATGTTACAGTAAAGAAAATAATGGCGAGCCATCTAAAGTGATGGCTAATTAATGACCGTCAAAAATACTAATCAAGTTTCCCTCATTGAACTCGAGTAGTTTACCTTGATGTATGGAGAGGATCATTAATGTGTCTGTAGAAGATGGTATTCAGAGCTCTTGAAACTTCCCCACCTCGTTGAAGTCATGGCCGGCGTCCTGGAAATTGTGCTCGAGTTGACTTTCTTTCTTCTGATTATAACAGACTTAATTAAAAGCTCTACACCCCTTCACTGTTTAATCACGTAATAGCGACAGTAATAGTGAAATGGTAAAAATCTAACAACGAGGCAACATATGTATCAAAGCAGTAAACAAACGCAACCCTAAAAAATCCGCTTTAAATTAGTGGCCGATGGAATTTACGCATAGTCGCTTTTATTTTGTCACAATGATAATGCCGCCAACAACCCCAGGTCCCCACTTCGTTCCCCTTTTCCTAACCTTGGGTTTGGGAAGGGAAGATGGGACCCACACGCCCGAGATTTACTTAGGGCGCGTTTGGAACACTTTTTTTAGGGTGTTTTTTGGGTGAAAGCCTGACAAACTGTCAGGCTTTCACCCTAAAACGCCTCTAAAAGAGGCGTTTTAGGGTGAAACCCCTGTACAGGATACACTCGAGCGTGCAAGAAAAATAAGTGGAATTTTCAACATTTCAAATGCAAACTGAACAGAGATGGAACCAGCATCACTGGAATTTCGACCGCAGGTTCATGACAAATCTTGGTAAAATCAGCATAATATTCGCTGCTCAAAATACATAACGCTTCAGAAGTACACATTTGGTAACGTCTCTGAAACATAGTTCCTAAAGCTTTCATGAACAGGCAACTCAATTCTAGTTCCCCATCATAGCCACTATTATTCAACCTCAGATGTAGCGCAGGGATCTCAAAAGAATGAGATTTAGTTTGAAAATATCAGGGTTTTCCGCTACAAATTGTACATGGAACAGAGGAAAAGCATCACTTACCAAAGCCAGTTACACCACTTCCAGCTAATACCAACGACCTAATACTGGATACATTTTTTCCGTTAAAATTGTAAAATTTACAGCCTCATGTATCAAAAATGCCTGCTTCTGGTCTCTATTCACGGCAGAAGCCTACACCGCCACGCCTCCACAAAGAAGTGGAACGCCAGACAAACGTATAAGGTGTCACATTAGGACATGAGCTTTTCCGTAATACCTATTAATATAGGGAACCTGCAAGACAAAATCAGTAGATTATCAGATCAAACGGAATCAAAGAAACCATTAGAATAGTATTATATTCATAATTGTTGTTTATCTTCATAGGAATTAATCATACGACCCATCAAAATAGGCTTTGTCAATGGAGCACAATCATTGTCTAGTATGCAAGTGGACTCTCTACAATTTCAAAGTTTTTTGACCTTCACTCAAGGTTTTTCGACCTTCACAGAGCAAGTGAAAGAGGCAGTTCAGTGCTAGCAAGTAGTACTTTGCCTTTGCTATGTTCCCCACAAAGTTGTACAGAGCTTTGCACAGAGTGCAGACCTCGCACAAAATATACCACTTAGCAAACGCACCCATCATGAAGACGCACCCATCATGAAGACAAGGTTCAGCAAATATTAGTTAAAACTGCTAACGTTGGTCATAAATTGAACTAGATATTTAAAATTTACTAAGCTCATTTGTGAAAAAATGGGAACCGCAGGTTAAGAGACAGGCACGCACGAGCGCGCACACACTAGCGGAAAAGCAATAGCAATTGAAGCATCTACATCAGTCAAAAGTAATTCATTTCTAATATTAGCAAGCAAATTATAATGCGCCACCCAAATTGGATGACGCATCAGGAAAGTAACATACCTTTACTTTGCTTATATCAGGTGTATCTGGTGTCTGCACCGGGTAAAACTTATAAAATTGCATGTTCTCAAATGCTGCCTTTGTTGCAGGATCCATGTCTTCTATAGCTTTTCTTCTTGCTTCCTTTGCCTAAATGGTTATCAGAAACAGATATTTTAATATTTGTCTCCAACAACATAAAAAAGAAATTATACAGCGAAAGTACCTGCCGCTGTGCTCTCTTTCGTTCTCTGACTTGTTCCTTCACATATTCCTGACAAACCATACCAGATAATCAGATAAAGAATATATTTGCCCAAGTAGAGAGATATATCTTAAGAGAAAGCAACTAAAAGCATTCTGCATATAGCCCTCACCTTAAAAGCATCCTTTTGGTCTTCTGATAAAGTTTCTTCCTGGACAAGTTCATCAGCGAACTCCTGGAAATTACAACAGCATTTAGCATTTGCTGGTGCATGGGAAGAAAATTAAGCTATGAGCATAGATACCTCAAGATCATCCAGTTCCCAGTCAAAATCACATACAATCTGCACAAGAAAAATGGATCATCAATATAACACAAATTAATAGAAGATGTGGAATACTAAACTCTAAAGAGGATGAAATTGCATCTGCGTACTGTTCTCAGTAATTAGCTTACCGGCGGTTCAAGAGGATACATGATATTGACAACTGTATCATCCTCATCTTCATCAGCCTTCAGCGGCTGAAGGTCTGCCAGATAAAACATCATAGAATGTTATCTGAATCGCATTCCGACAAAAAAGAAACTAAGGAGTTAACTATAAGCAATTATGCCCCACAATCTCAGTTCCCTTCATGCTTTCCATGGCAAACATTCAAAGAAACTGTTAGTGACAATCTTCTTGATAAGGAAGTCTGCTGCATCGCTAGTCTTTTTCTTCAAACACATGAGCTTAGACTGATTCTGGTTTAGCAATTTTTGCCAACGTCCAAGTTTAGCTTATCACTAACTTTGTGTTTGCTAAAATAAAGTTGTAAGATTTTAAAAAAACTTCTAGCTTAAAGTTGAGTGTTCTGAATCTTATCAGCAACTTCAGTAGCTTTTTTACAATTTAACTAAACACCACGTTTCTAAACAGCAACTTCCCACAGTAGCTGCTCACAATTGATTTTCGCAGAAGATTTTATAAAGTGGCTCTTCACTAGGAAAAACACCCAAAATAAGCGTTGCCAGCATGAAAAGGATATATTACATACACTAAAGAGATAGACGATGTTCCAAAAGGATTTTATGTTTCATACCATGAAAGGAAGTTGTGGCTCAATTTGACAAATTCTTACAGAGATCTAAAAAAGATTTGTGACTCCTACTGAAAATTGTATTTGGATCCGACTCTTGATAGATCATATCCAATCCCAGATATGTCAGGGCATAGGAACAAGGTCAAAATCACAAAAATAGGTGCATTTTGGAGCAATCACTGAACAACACAGAATAATGTCCACAGCAAACAATCAATTTTCAAAAGGTTGGCCTATTTTAAAAAGTCGATAAAAGTTCGATAAACTTACACGGAAGACAATAGTCATATTGCTTGACACGCTCAATCTTCAGATGTTTTAGAGCAGATCTGAAAGGACAATACCCAAGCATGTTATGGTACACAATCGTAACTGGTAAAAATTCTTACAAACTTGAATCATATCTAACGAACCTTGAAAACATCAGATATTACAAGGAGATATTATACAGGACAATAACATAATATAATTGCAAGAATAAGCCAACTCCAAAAACATTATTGAATATCATTATTTCATCATCAGATCAGATCAATGTGCACAATTGTACACGATAATGACGGAACAAAAGGATCGTTAAAATGAAGCAAGACCAGAGTATATCAACAAATCTTAACAACTAGACAAGCTCAAACATGAAACACAATATTTGGAGAATGTAGTCTCATGCTACTATTACACCATAACATTAATAGCCTGTTTGGATGGAGGGTAGAGAGGGGGAGGGGAAAAGAGGAAGAGAAATATAATTTTAACCTTGTTTGGGAGTTCCATTTAGAAGGGTAGAGGAGGGGATTTGTGGTGGGTGGGGGGGTGGATTTGAGCCAAAATCTTACACTCCAAATTGGGCTGTAATGAAGGGGAAAGGCTTTCCCCTTCCTTCCCTTCCCTAAGTCATCTCCCCAAACACACTGTAAGACACAAATCTGCACAGTAATCAAATTAATGGTGAACAGAATAATTGGCAAGCACACGTGGCCTAATCCTACCTAGTGTGATTAATAATAAAACTAACAACGATGATAACAGCAATATGAGATAGAACCAGATGCAGCTTAATGAAGCTACAAAACTACTTGCAATGCATGTTTCTGCAAGCAAAAGCACTTCATTTAAAGAAACTAGAGTCTCAAGGAATTAGCTGATTAGCATCATGAAGCAAAGGGGAGAAGATTGAGGCGGATACACAGCAAATGAGTCCTTGAGGACCAATATAATTCAACAAAAAGAGAAATGGTTCATAGAATTGACTGCAAATTGTAATCAACATAAAAGTACAATGTTTTCCTATGTGTTAAGTCTTGGGATATCAAAAATATTTTTTTAGCCCGTGCATTCCGATTTCTTATCCAGAAATTAACCCTTTCTACTCTAAAACAAACATCCCCTATAGAAGGAAAAGTAGCGAATTTTGATATAAATAGTATTGAACAAATTTGTAATTCTATCAATGGATCAACTTTATAGCGTTTGATATAACACCCTGTTTTCATGTCAAAAGAAGTTACAAAAATTGAAAGTTTACATTGTTATTGACTTAAAAACGAAATTTACGAGTTTGGTTTTGGGAAAGTGTGCAAACGGAGACTAGGTTCCATGCTCCATTGACCACGAGGATGTCGTTGTTGAAGGTGTTCTTTGTTCGAGTTTGGAGTTGAAGGGAGTTCTGTTGATGTGGAACTCAACTCACCGGAAAGGAATCTTCTTGTTGACAAGCTAGAAAGCCGAGCTTTTGGGGCAAGACTGTGAAATGCCAACATGAGACCAAGGATCAAGTGCTATAGGGCATCACACTCTTGGGTTACAAGAGGTTGGCATGACGACGGGAGGTTAACTCAGCAGCCAAGGGAGGAGCTCAAGGCTCAACCCCAAAGAGGACTGAATACCTTGAAAGTGGGTGAATGGGGCCTATTTACAGGCTGAAGATTGTGCCTCACGCGAGGTTGACTCCATGTGAGGTTAGTTTTAATCGTAACTCCATGTGAGGTTAGTTGTAATCGTACGTCGATCGTATTAGCATTAAATAAATGTACACCACTTTTCATAACTTTACCACGGGGGGTTGGCTCGGCCATCACGTGTGCCTACTTCAGTCAAATCACATTTAATGATGCTGAAACAATATCAACTCTATCAACCCCGCGCCATAAAACTGTGACTACGTGGGGTTAGAGCATCTCCAACAGCTTCCCCATCTTCTTGAAATACTCAAATTTGGAGAATATAGAGCTTTTTTTTGGTCCAACAGATTCTCCATCTCATTCCCCAAAATAGGGAAGGAGGAGAAAAAATAGGGAGCCTTCCCAAAATCTGCAGCATTCTCCAAATTTTTGGGGAGAGCTTTATTATTGTAATAAATGCGATTTTTCAAAATGGGGAAGCTGTTGGAGTTGGAGCAAAAATAATTTGGAGAATATGACTTTTGTTTCTCTATTTTGGAGAAAATTTTGGGGAAGCTGTTGGAGATGCTCTTAGCCCAATGCGGTCTTCGAGAGAGCCATACTTTGGACTGCAGTACATTTAATGTGATATCTTTTGCATTTAATGTGGGGGGATTTGGTGATCCAACAACAGTCAACATTCAAACAAATCTGTAGTTTCCGTGAACCACGCGTGGCACACGGGGTTGAGTTGAGTGGAGTTTGCAGCCACGAACGACTGAGTTTGTGCAGGGTTAACAACCACGCAGGGCTGAGACATGCGGAGTTAACAGTCGCGCAGGGCTAAGTCACAGTGTATAAGGCTGTTTTGAGCCTGTTTTGACTTGGGATTTTGCGATCACCTCTGTTGAGTCCATTGGCGATGTTCAATGACAGAAATGCTCTTGGTGCCTCTGTTGGGATTTTGGGATTTTAGCATCTATGCAAGTGCCAGAAGGCACAAGTAAAAATGTAATTTTACTCTTCTATTAAGACCATTCGTTCTATTGTCCAATATGATAATTTAATAATATATACAACTAAATAGTGAGCATTTGTTTATGAAACAGAGGGAATTAATATTAGGACTAAGATGCGTCATATAACATGCAGAAAGTAATCGTGTGAGTAAAGGAAATGAGGGCGCTATATTGATGCAAAATAGTATATTGTTCACTTGTTTGAAAGATAAAAAATAAATTTAAAAACCAACACAAACTACAAATTAGAGAAGAATCAAAGATTTTTTTCAAGTTCATAAATGACAAATATGCACCAGCCGCTATGAAGCCAATAAATTTGTGATGGTGCAAGTTAAAGAGTGAAGTCAACAAAGAAACTTGTTAGAATCATTTTGAGAATGAGAGAATTATAGAGTAGTGACGAGGCTACAAAGAGGTGAAGAGGTCAAAAAACTGGGGAATACCATTATTATTAGCGAAATGAGAGAATTTACTTAGTTGCAAAAAATAAAGTGCAAAAAAATAAATGAGAGAATTTACTTTGCCTTTTAATAAACTGACAACCAAAGTTTAGGAAAAACCAGTAATGATGAAATCACGTTTACGTTTCCTTTTAAGCCTCACAAGATAAATAGCTAACTGAGAGATAAAGTACCTTCTCTGGCTGCAGCCCAAAGTATAAATTTGGGTTTTCAATCTATCAACTCTACTTTGCCTGTAAATGATTTTTGTATTTAAGAATTAGATCTGCTGATCTAGATTCAAAATAGAAACATCAAGTAACTATAATAAATGAAACTAACCTGTTTTCCAAAGGTATGTATGGAATCCATGCCATTTTCATTGCCTTCATAGGTATAATATCCTCAGTCTCCCTTTGTATGGATTTTACACCAATTTTATCAGATGGTGGAATAGGAGAAACCACCTATTCAACAAAGCAAGAGAAAGGATCAACATGTGAATCAGTATTCATAACAAATGAAAGCATCAAGCATTTACTCCAATAAAACTGAAAAACTTGTCCATAAAATTCATTTATGTTTTGCTAGGGCGTAAGCACAACCAACTTGTGATTAGAACTTAGACAGAGCTGTAAGAGGTTAAATTTGAAATCAAATTGCCACATACAAATGAAAGTCATTGGTCAAAGTAGATCGATAAACATAAAGTTCAAGCATACTTAAGATAATTGCGAGCACAAATTACTTTACTGTATACTTCTACTAAGAGAGACTTCAAAAATTATAGAACGTTTTGTTATAAAATTAACTCAAAGTTATTATTAGCATTGCTTCTTTTGCCTATAACTTGTCTCCTCACAACGGCTATCTTTAGGCGCCTCAGACCAGATATGCCTTGCAAACAATAAATTTGTGATGCTATGGACCACATGCTGACAAATTACCTTAGTATATATTTCCACTAAGAGAGACTTCAAAAAATTATGGAACGTTTTGTTATAAAATTCACACAAAGTTAGTAGCCTTCCTACTTTTGCCAAGACTCCTCACAACGGCAACTTTTAGGTGCCATGAACCACATGCCTTAAAATTTGTCATGGCACTCGTGTCAAAGGAAGATGAACAATCCGATTATCGTAGGGCATGTGAATCATCAAGATTAACTGACATTTTAATAAAACAGATGCATGCCAGCAAAACAACAACAAAAAAGTACTCAATTGAAGCATCTCATTTAGAATTAGTATGAAATGTGAGCAATAACATTAAATACACAACTCAAACAAAAGCTTACAGGTCTAAGCAATGGATATATCAGCACCTTGATGTCCATTCAATGTATTAGAGTAAACAACTAGGTACAAAAGACAAGCCTAAACCCATTAGCCCAGACAGGTAGCTGATGATCTTACCGCCACTATAATAGGAATAAGTGTTACTTTCTGTTCACCGTTTACTTCCAATAATTGAGCTGTAAACAAGAAGAAAGCAAACAAGAAAATGACATCATGGAAGCAACAATAAAGAATAATAGCATCTCGTATATTAAAAAGTTAACCTATAACATGACTCAAGAGAATATGGGCATATTGAATTTCAAAAATATTGAGGCAAAAACATTCTTGACAAAACAGCTAGAAGCCACTTACGTTCAGTGCAGCCAAACATGTAGACTGTCTTTCCATAAAGTTCTCCACCCTCCTCGAAAACTTTCTGTGAACAACACTTCTCAGCTCAGAAACAAAATACCTCCAGGAATAAAGCTTTTGAAAGATTCCTAAAACTCACCTCCAAGTTTGAAAAATCCCAATTGATCTCTCGGAGTTTGTCCATGTTGTCCCACTGCAACAGAAATCAATACGGTTCACATGACAATATACATTTTGATTTATTCTTTCACAATTTGATGAATGAAAAGTATTAGACAACAAAAGTAATGGATACAGACCTCAGTTCCAACAGGAAACGCAGCTTGCCACAGGTCTTCCTGAAAAATAAAAACATTTTAATAAGCCAATGGCAGGCAGTAAAGAAGGGAAATCCGTTCTTATGTGCTTACGTTCATTCTAATAGCTAAGATAACAGGAAATGCTTAAACACCGGAATTAGGAAAAAAAAATATATCACAGTTAATCACAACAGCATCAAATAACCCCAAATTCTTCAGCAAATTGCAACAGACTCAACAATGCTATTGATCAAGTAAATGATAAGGAACTATAGGCACTCATTTTCTCAGCTAATTACTTTACAATCTTCAACAGGGCTTTTCTCTTGAATCATACAAACAGAAGTAAGACGGTTAATTTGAATCCTTACGACAAAAAGGGGAAGATAAAGTGAGTAACCTACGTTCACTTAAGTGAAGATAATTAATAAAACCCTGCCATCTAACAAAATAAAAGGACAGCAGGACCAAATCCAAAGGGCTAAATTACCAAATTGGTATTTTTTATACAAACCTTTTTCAAATATGTTTTTTTTTCCTTTCATTTGCAACATTATGGTATCAATATCAACATTAATTCCAACCTGGTTATTTTTCCTATATAAAATATCACCAAATTGACATCAACTGTTGACGTTAACACCATATAGTCGCAAGCAAAAGAAAATTTTACCATATTGGAAATATGGTCCAACTAAAAATTTACCATACTGGAAGCTTCAATAGCCGCATTGCTAAACCCTAACTAACCTAAGATAGCTCCATATTCACCAAAACACGGTTATTGTCACCAATCAAGTGAATCTCATCGATTTATTACCAAATCTCGCCCTAAGCAAATCAATCTCGGGAGTGAAAATAAATAAATAAAACAATTAGATTGGGAAACCGAACCAAGTTCCTCTTCTCAGGGAAGTACTCGGGCTCCTTGGGGCCTTCTTGAGGTTTCTTGTGCCTCCCTCTGTTCGACTTCTTAGGGATCTCGGTCTCCGCCACCTTGTTGGAGATCGAGGCCGAGGCCTTCGAATTCTTCGGCGCCTATTTAGGACGGCAGCTCGCGCGAAACTAGGGTTAGGGTTGAAGAGTGCCGGATTAGAAAATTTCGAACGGAGGAGCAGAGAGGGAGCGACAGAAAAGGAATCGAAGGGAGGGGGTGAGAGAAGGGGGGGGGTGCTATGTTATAGTCGGAAAGGTCGTCCGTTCTCTGACAGCACTCTTCTCACGGGGAGAGTCGCAGGCGAAGCCCTGGCGACGGTGTGGTTGTGGGACTGACACGTGGCCGGTTTGAGAGTTCTGGAACGGATTTGAATTTTGAATTTCTGGGCCGGAGTCGAATGGGCTTTTCTGAGTGGGCTGAAGCATACAATCTTCTTAAAAAAAAGGGAGAGGTAAGTGGGGATTGAACCCGACGTGAATCGAACACGCAACCTTCTGATCTGGAGTCAGACGCGCTACCATTGCGCCACGGATCCTAGTTATGAGCGTCATCATAAACAACGCACAAACATTGGTACGTTTCAATATGTAGATAGTATTTATATTTTACGATATAAAATTATAAAAGTTTTTGTATTCATCTACCGATTATAAGCATTTGAGATTTTCATGTTTTTGCATCTTATATCACAATAGTAGTATACGAAAATAAATATTATAGAGCAGCTCCTAAGGGCGTGTTTGGATTTCAATGGGGTTAAGGGAAGTTAAAGGAAGCTAAATGAGAGAAGAGAAGGGAAAGGAAGGGAGTTCTTTTCCCCTTAGTTACACCCCAATTTGGGAGTAACAAATTTTATATTATTAAGGGGTGAACTAAGGGGAACTAGGGTGAATAACTTCACCTTTTAAGTGTTCCCAAACAAGGTAAATGGTTCCCCTAACTTCCATTCTCCCTTATTCCCCTCAATCCAAACAAGCTATAAAGAAAATCAAAAGGAAGATGATAAGCGTATTCAATAGCTATACTACTCTTATACTATTAGTCACAATGAAGTGGGGTCCATAAGACCTCATAATTTGTCTTTGCGCTTTACAAAAAGAGTTCCTCTGTGTGTAGGAACACAAGGGTTGTATAACTCCTGTGTATAGTTATCACTGCTCAAATCGATATCGAATGACGCAGATCATGACATATGTCTTGCTACTAATTATAAAAAATCCGCATAATTTTGATGCTTATTAAATCAATGCAATCCAACTACCCAATCCACAGAAGGGACTTTCAAGAGTCCATTCCCTCTGTGAAATCTAAATCTTGTAGCAGTAGTGTCAAGTGGGATCCTCCTGCTTCTGGTATGGTGTGCATCAATGTGGATGCAGCAGTAGACAGAAATGGAAGTGGTTGCAACAGTGGTATTGTGGCTCAGGATCACAATGGTGCTGCTCTTTGCTCTAGAGGTAACTATTACATGAATCCACTCTCTTCTCTTGTTGCTAAGATTATTGCTATAAAAGATGGGGTCCTTGCCAAGGAGAGGAAGTGGAATCAATGGTTTATTGTCTCTGATTGCCACAATGTTGTGGATTTATTGAGCAATTTGGAGGTTCAAAGTGGAGAACTTGATCTACTTGCTGATGAAGTTAGGTCCCTAGCTGTTTGTTCTAGCTTCAAAGGCTTCATCTACAAGCCTAGGGATTCTAATGGTGTGGCCCATCTGTTAGGAAAAAAAGCTCTTGGTGATCATAAGGCCTTTGATTGGGACGAGGGTGTGTCCTTTGTGACTTTCAGTGCGTTTATGGCTGATATGTCTTCCCTTTGTTAGTTATTTTGTTCTTTGGTATTTAGTATGTACTCTTCTTTACAAAAAAAAAATCAATGCAATCAGTATATGATATTGAACATGTGTTATACAACAAATGTAACATATCAATACTGAAACATCCTAATAGCGAGCGATTATGATTCTTTCTTTGAATGCAAATTAGGAATGAGAGCAACACACATGGGTATGGTGAATGTTAGATTTAGAATGTATCATAACCGCCTACTAGAATGCATCTTTACCGCCCGTCACAATTTGAATGGATGAGACATAAGATTATGTAAGATTTCCACTATGACAATAGTTATTTTCGCAACGATAGGCCAGATCAAAAATATCGTTGGAAATCCTACGTGGCGCTACCTCATCCATTGAAACCGAAACATCCTAATAGCGGGTCATGTATGAGGCGCACGCAAACGAGCATGTCCTGCATCGAACACCTATCTAATTGATGCGCGTGTATTCAAAGAAGGTTAGTTATTGGAGGCTTCGTTGGATGTGGAGAATCATGATTCACTTCCGAATTCAATGTTGTTGGCTCTGGGGGTTGTATAGTTGAGCTATTGCTACAGAGGTTTTCCTGTGTAAGAAAGGAATTGTTACTCCCATGAGATGTCCAAGATGCAATGAATGGATCTGCTGATGACGCGTTTCATCTGATCATCAAACTGCAGGTCTAGAAATGCATGGCTATTGTTATGGGCAAGATTTGGAATGAACAGGAAAATCACTGAAGGGTTAAAAAAAAAGATTAGGGGGGAGGGGGGCCCTATGACACGGATAGACCCCCTGAGGGTTAAAAAAAAAGTCCAAGAAAATCACTGAAGGGTCTGTCTGTAAAAAATAAAATTAGAGGGGGTACTAAAGGGTGTTTCTGTAAAGATTAAACTTAAGAGGGGTAGGTAGTTCGTAATAACAATCTTACTGGAGGGGCATCGCACTTCACCATTCTTTTTGAAGAGAACATCCGAAAAACTTGAGCAGAACCAAAAAAAAAAAAAATCTTAAATCTCTAGTTGACAGAGAGATTGTTTTGATGCTTAAGCGTATAATCTTAAGAGAGGCTATTGATTCTTTATTATTAGATACAGAGAGATTTCTGATTCTAGTAATTATTTCTCGCCCCCCTTTCAGATAAACTGCACATCCACATTCTCAGCACTGCCGGACTTCTTCACCACCAACATCCGAACAAACCCCTCCCTCGAGCCACCGTCACCGCCCTCCCCTCCCTTGCTCTCACCCCCTCCAACACCATCCTATCCTGCGCCGCCTCTCTCCACTGGACCCACCTCAACACCGTCGCCACCTTCCACTGCTCTTTCCTCTCCGATGTCTCAATGTACTTAACGGTCGTTGGAACGAATGGTTCAATACAAGTGAAGGATCTTGCTATTCCTTTTAGAGAGATAGAGTTTGGCTTCGTTCGATTTGAATTTTGGCGCCAACATGTGGTCAAGGAAGCAGGAGGAGGCGGTGGTGGAGACTGACGTGCCGCAAGAGGTTTCAATGGTGAAGGAATTTGCGAGGCTTGTGAGGTGTGTGAGGGACTGTGGGTGTGGGCCGGAGATGAAGTGGTTCGAGTTTTCAAGGAAGACTCAGGTGGTGCCTGATTCTGTGATGAGATCGATCGAGCTTGGATTCAAGCCGATTGTGTTGTGATTGTCTAGCGAGAAGCTGTGATGCAATCCGACGGCATCATGTATCTTGGAACACTGTTGGACACGATGTAGATCCGCCACCGGTGAAAATGTCGTGCTCTTATGCAAATTCTTAATGAATGACGGATGTAGCTTCTGCTCATGTCGGTATGTATGGATTCATGGTGAATCCTACACGTTGATGGATGCAACTGTAACATTGTGAATTCACATCATACAGAGACTCATTCATTACGCATATCATCACATGTAAATTGGGTTGAGATTCAAATACGAGAGCATAAAATTCACCACTTATTGTACATAGACAAATACTACCAAGCTTAGCTGAAATAAATCTTAAGGTGGAAAGACGCAAATTGCTGTAATCTTAGCTCGCAGCAAAACATTTTCAAAAAATTAGATTAGAAACCAAAAATCAAGAGCAAGGAATACACATCAAAAGGGACACCAAGAGACAAGAGGGAACACAGGAAGATGTTGTTAAAAGGTTAGAGAATCAACTTTCACCATCTCCTTTAACTTGTGCCTGAAATAATCTTATCCGAGACCTACTTCAATAATGTAACTCACTGGAATAATATAATTTTATTACCACAATATACAGTACAGAGGGAAGTTACCTCTACTGTGCTACAGGTTTATTTTCCATTTATACGCAGCCGACACAACATTTTGTGCTGGTAATGAAATCTTTGATATTGACCAAAATCAAACACACACACATTTTCTCCAGAGATTTTACTATGATGAGGGAGCAGATGCAACACAAAGATTATTCATCCTTTCACCCTCGGTAAGGTACTCTGACTGGCTGGAACATCCACAGTTAGAAAGCTATCGATCTTTACAAGTGCCTATCAAAGAGTAATTAGAAAGTTCCATAAGCCAGTTGCCAAAATTTAACAGTTCATCCATTGATAGATGAAGTATGACCTATACAGCTGGAGACAAACAATTTGGAGGTACCTCAACCGCAATCGCCGTTGGTGTTAATATAGAAACATCCCCATGGCCCTGCTTGTCTGCAATATCTGCATTATAGCAAGTCCAATCATTTGGCAGGTAAAGCGTTGTTGTTAAATATTTCACAAGTAAAGCATTTCTCAATAACTAATAGAAGCAAGGAAGAATAGAACATGGAGAGTTCAAGAATTGTTTTTGAAATATTGTATTCAATCCCAAGAGGTGTAGGTCATGGAAATTTTGATAAAGAATGATTCCCAAATCACAAAAGGTCAAGATAAATTAGGAAAAAGATTGTTGCTGTGTCATTAAAATTCACACTTTCCTCTATTGAATTTCCATATGGCAAAAAACACACCCAAAAAAAAACATGGAATCTCAAGTTTCTGAAAATCAAGCAGTCAATGAGGAGTGTGGAGAATCTCCTCTTTCTTCTTCTTTAAGTCCCAGCTGATACTAGATGAATACTATGGGTTGCAGATAATTTGAAGTATGGGAAAAGCAATGCAATACAGAAAACCAGATAATATCAGTAGGCCATAAGATATTTTCATCAGCAAGTATTTGTGAATAAACATTAATTAAAATTAAATACCTTTTTCAACAACTAATACCTGAATTGTTCACCTGTAAGGTTAAACGTAAATCTGCTATAGTAGTATTGTATGCCCTTACACATCCAATGCATATTATGTAATATTTTTTAAATATTATTGGATTTAATTGTTGCATATATACTTTGGGTATCATTTCTACCTTTGTTATAGTATCCTTAAAGATTGCTTTGTTAGATCATGTACTATGATGGTCATTTGCTTGGAGATGTAATCTAACTTAGAAATTTCTTAAATTTATGCTTAATCTATAACTGATTAACTGGTAAATAATAACTTTGTTATAACAAGGTACTATGTATGACACCGACATGTGAGATGTGGTTGTGGGTCTTAACCACCAGGAAAGGGGATTCATGAGATACATGTCATAAGCACACATTGTGATGTGTGTAACACTAACAGTATTTGAATTATCTAGGACAAATCACCTATGAGACGGAGAATTCAGAGTATTACATGTTCCCTTTGACTTGATGATATTGACAAATCTGATTTGATAATTTAGTATGCTTTAATGTAATGGTTAATCTTGTTTAGCAGTTGCTACACAACATGAAATGTTGGATTAGAAAATTTTATTTAGGGAAATTATGGATATCTAGATAGGATCAAGTATGCTCATTATGATGAGTTAATTTATTATGTATGTTCCATGAAGTTATTAAATCCCCACTGGTGGGTGATTTTGAAAAAATATTTTCAAATTTTATTTTCATATAAAATAAAATATTTTGATATTTTAAAATGTTTTTTATTTATATTCATGGGGATTGCAATTTAGGTATGAGCCATTAGGTTAACGATCTTGCTCGATAAATTTGCCTAAAATAAATGATACTAGAGGGGACTGAATGTAAGATAATATTATTTATAAATAATTATTCCATATTATGGAATAGTTTTTATGAATAACTGGTTAAATAGGGATTTGATTGTTAAATTATAATTATTAATTCAATTAATAATTGGTTCTCGATATGAGACCCAATTGGTCTCACTAATGTCATTAGAAAAGGTTTACATGCAATACAAATTCTATTCTATATTTAATTATTATGGGTAGGGTTTTTGAACAAATATGAATTGTTCGAAATTACAATTTATAAGGCTAGTCTAATCATATATATAGGTTCACGTGTGGCTTTGTGCGTAGTCTTATGGAAAAAATAGAAAAATAGAAAACTAAGAACCTATCTCTCAGTATTGCTCCTCTTTAGTGATTAGTGGATTTCAATTAGAGGTTTATTTTCTCTTGAGAAAGCTCTTTCGGTTGATCTTGGGATAGATTATTGTAGAGAATCAGAAAGCATTTCAGATATTTTTCTACACTTTAATTAATTTTTATTAATCTACATGAGATGCATATTCCGTCATGTTGTATGTTATGTTTCCAACAAAATCGTCTAAGGAAAGCTCAATCAATTTAAGAATAAATTTTTCTAAATTTACAAACATTCTATATACCCATGTTTCAGAGTTTAAATAAATGCACTTGTCTTCAAAGCGGAAAAAAAACTATGGGACTTTAAATACAACAAACATACTCTGGAGGCAAACTCTTGCATCTGCATTGGCATAATCTTCACCCCTTTCTTTAGACAGCGCCGACAGTCGTGCCAGAGCCTGCACATATATCCATTATTAAAAAAGACATTATTATATGCAGAGTACTTTCATTCATTCGAGAATCATTTTTTCCATGCATAAATATAGCTAAAAGTTGAATGCGTGGAATTGGAAATTGAATAGGTAATTTTAACTATCATGAGCATATCTCAGAAGAAGAAAAAAACATTACTTTTACTTGATATTACTGCAAAAAATGATTAGTGTCAGTACTCTAGATACCTCTGTGTAAGGATCACCAGGTTCTTGGGGTAAAAGAGGACGTGAAGCTGTCCCATCAGCAGCAATACGCTTTGCAAGAGCTTCCAAGGGGACATCTAACCATACAGTTATCCCTTGTTTCATATACTTCCTGATAATCAAGCAGTAAAGGATACATTGTATGATTACTATCTCACAAAAGATCAAATACAAAACAAGATTTCGTGATCTAGCTATTAAGCTACCAGTTGATTGGTCGAATCACAGCACCCCCTCCAGTTGCAACAACTAATCGGCACATAGAAGACAAATCTCTCAGTACTTTGCTCTATACAGAAATAGAAAATTTCATAAGACTCCCCAATGAAAAGTCAATTGTCGAAAACTAAGCGCATGGACATCAGTACAAGCAAAGCTCTTTATTTCACTGTTAGTTTGTTACATCTCCCAGGAAATGTAGTATTACCTCACTATCTCTGAAGAAAGCCTCACTATGCTCCTTGAATATATCAGTAACCGAAGACATGCCAACAGCCTCCTCTACTAACTTGTCACTGGGATGTCATAGTATAAAATAATTTAGAATTTTCCCTGAACACATCCGTAGAAGAAGTGCCCAGAAGTTTTTTCGTTACGACTAGTACAAACCTATCAAAGAAAGAATATCCTAAAGCTTCCGATAAAATCCTTCCAATAGTACTTTTCCCAGAACCCATCATTCCTGAATTTGAATAGGACATATACAATGGTCAAAACATGAAGTCTGTAAATGTGCTCTCTCAGTGCAAACAATTAACTTCTGGCTGCTAAAAATATCAGGAAAGAACACTCACCAACTAGGTATATGCACTGTCCATTTAATTCGGGTAAGACCTCCTCAGATTTGCGCTGTAATTTTGACAGAATTGAATAAGTTTGCATGCAAATAAATCAACAAACCATAAATCATAGTCATTAACCATGATTAGGTGATCGATAATGCATGCTCTAATTGGATTCAATCAAAGATGATGTTAGTGATATCATTATCTTTGAGTACGGACACGAGAAATAGAGAAGGTGTTGTTCAAGTGTTCAGGACAACTTCCATACCTTTAAGATAAGTGCTTCATCGACTGAGGAATGCAAGTTGGATAATTCTCCAGCTGAAGTGACATGCCAATACAGACAAATAGCACTTAGGATCATTCAAATGAGAAGCCAGAAACTAGATGGTTGAGTACACACAAGATATCATTAATATCTGATTTTTAGTGCAGCTCAAAATAATACATGTATATAATCCCATAATAGTTCAACTGCATAAAAAACAATAAAAGACAACAAGTTCTGTTGAGTATCTCGTCGACTAAGTTAAATTATTATCACATCCATCTTAACAGCTTCTAACCAGGTTCCCTTCGGCCTACCTTTAGTAATTCTTTCTCCATGTACTTTTGTTACTCCTCCTCATTGGTGCATTTAGTGGCCTCCCTTGCGCATGATCGAATTATCTCAAATGATTCTCTCCCATTTTATCCTTAATAGGAGTTAAACAGAAGAGAGGATTTGTAAAAGAATGCCATGACAAAGAAAAGACAGGCTATATTTTGGACCTATACTACAACTACTTCCTAGAGGCAGCAAGTCGAAATCTTATACACTAGGCAGAAACTTAGCTCAATGTTATTCCAAATCTATGATGTAAAACCAGATCCCATAAAAAACTTCCCTAAATTTATTGTAATTATTTACTGTAAATCCCATTAATCATGTATTGCATATCTATGAACAAAAGAAATGGAATGATCGGTTCTAAAGCAATCAAATTAATTAAACAATTTTCCATAAGTTCTCAGATGCAAGCTACAACTTGCACAGATTAGCAGAAAATTATACCATGATCAGTTATCCCAATATGTAAATGATAAAAAATAAGAAAATATGCAATCTTTACCCCAAGATTTCTTGCAACTGCAACAAATCTTCGACTCATGGCCCTTTGCCCTAACCGAACAAGTCCTCAACTTTGATTGGCGCAAATTAACCGCTTGAATCCTCCTCTCTTCACCAAGACCTGGTGAAAACCTCAAAATTTCCCAAGATTTTCGCCCTCTTTTCTCTCCGCCGATCAAAGAACACGATTGAAAGCTCAAAGCAGCAGTTGCTTCCATCATTATAAAAAAAAAAGTTCTCTTCTTTTACTAATGTGAACTCCAAGTGCCTCTTCCTCCTATCCAAATCGAAGAGATTCGAACCAAACTCTATACAGGCTCCCTAAATCTTGATTTATGAACGAATAAACGGCTAAAAATAGAAAGAAATTCCCCAGAAAAGGAGAGAATTGATAAGATTCAGCCTCCGAAGGGCTGAATCATAGCCTAATCCGCTCGAATTTAACGGTGGATCTCAATAAACCCTCGTAAGGCGCAGGATAAGGCGGGAGCGGCGTAGGATAAGCGGGATGAATGGAGAGGGCGACGGCTTTATAGGCGTTCGTGCCGTCGCGTTTGTATTCATTGACGGTATTGCCCTTGGAAAATATTATTCTGAACTTTTGGAAAAACAAAGTTAGAAAGTGAATTCACTTTGCACTTCAATTTTTTTGGGTTTGACATCAGATTTTTAGCCCTTTTCAGTTTCCCAAATTTGGGCAAATTACCAATTGGTACTTTTTGTAGACCCACTTAATCGATTTTTTTTTTAGCTCCGGCAACTTATTGGTATTTAAAACGAGCCAAATATGTAACTAGACCCTTTACAAATCACCGGCAAAATTTAAAAAATGTAGTTCCTCAAATATTTACTAGTTCGATATTAGTCCCTCAAATCACTAAAATTCACCCCCCACCCCACCCCCCAAACCCCCAATTCCCTCAACCCCCCCAAAAAAACCAGCCTCTACCTCCACCTTTTGATGTGGAAGCAAGTTAGATGGCAAATTCAATGATTTTGAGGGGCTAATATGAAACTTCTAAAGATTTGAAGGATCAAAACTTTTTTTTTGTCGGCATCCAACTTTTGGTCCTATTTGACCAAAGGGCTAAGAAAAAAAAATACCAAAATAATGCTAGAGTTATAAAAAAAACACTAAATCCATTAAGTGAATCTACAATAAGTACCAATTAGTAATTTTGCCTCAAAATTGTATAGAAAATTAACGAGAAGAAAAAAAAAATTGTGCTAACTTGAAAAGCTTTAACGTGTATATGGCACACTACCTATGAAACCAACCACAATGATTAATATTTTATTTTGTTTTTATTTTTTTCACTTTTTATATACATGTTAACATGTTTTACGAGTGAAAAGATATAAGATAGAAAATTACTTCATTTTCTTTTCTTTTTTCCATATTTTGGCTAGTGAAATATCAAAAATAAATGGATTCAGAAATAAAGAGCATCAGATCAACTTTAAACATTTTCACTATTCAAAGACAGCAGACTAAAACAGAGGAGGGAGAACTAGTTTCTTAATTTATTTATACCATTTAAATTAATTGGTCACTTTCTATAATACCAAAAAGAATAGAAAGCAAAGCCACATTATCTGCCACATCCTCATAGCAGCTTTTCTTCTTTTCATTTTCTATCAACCAAACCAGATTTTCCAATGAGGTCGTGTTTGTTTCGATTCCATAATTTATGGATGTAGGCTATTCACCGAAAAATCCATTTCCATACTTTTTTTCTTGCATATTTTAGAAATGGAAGTTTTTTGTTGTGGTTCACCCTTAAAGCAAGAGAAAACATGTATTTCCTTCAGAATCTATTGTTTGATATAAATAAAAAATTGGAACAATATATATTGTTAAAAAATATAATTGTAATCTCTCTCTATAATATTTAATTACTAAAATATTAGATTTCAAGCGGTTTCCTCTCAAAAACCTTTGATTTATATATCTAATAACTGAGCCATTTTTTGGAGTTTTAGGATATGAGTTTCCATAATTTTTTTTGCGAGCCAGACATAATTTTTGGAAAAACTATTTTAACAAATATGACTAATTTCAGAGTTGTCCGGTAATAGAAAGAGTGGCACTACAGGCACACTCTCCACCACACTCTCCACCACACCCCCTCTCCTGCTACAGTGCAGGGGGCCCACCTGAGATTTTTTAAAAAATCTCAGGTGGCCCCCCTGCACTGTAGCAGGAGAGGGGGTGTGGTGGAGAGTGTGCCTGTAGTATTATTTTAATAGAAACCCAAATCTTAGGTTTCCTGAACGAAACAAACGCGCCCTAAATGAACCCTATAGCGACAAGACTTTGATAAATATACCTTATCGAACCAGTGTTATAAATGCTCAACTTTACACCAAACCTTATAAATCCAACCAAGATTTGGAACTTCAAGAAAACAAAAGAAAGAAAATACCTGTTAGGTTGAGGGTAAATCCGTCAGAAAACTTGAGGGGTTGGTGAGTTATCAGGCTTCGGAGAAGCCATGAGATATCGTCGCCTAATTCCAACTACCCACAGAAGCAGAGAGTTGGGGAGGAAAAGGATGGTAGGTGAGCCGGAAGATCAGCTGTTGATTTTCAAATAGCATTCACATACTTTTTGGTCAGTATTGAGAAGCAAGTTAATACGACTGTACTTTGTCCTCGAGTAAAGCTGTTTGTGTTCAGGGGACGCAGCGGATTTTTTTTCACTTGGAAACGCATTCACAGTGAGTGAGGATATCGGTGGACCCAGGGGCGTCGATGCTAGCTGAGCAGTTAACCTCCGGAAGTTGACAATTGATTTTAGAAGGAGCACTTTTTTAAGAAGATTTTTTATTTTATTTTAGGGGAAAATGTGTCTAGCCCCTCAAAAATAAAGAGGGTGTGGCTCAGTCCCTCATAGTTTTTCTCTTGTGTTTCAGCCCCCTCACACTCTCTCATGAACAACTTTTTAAAATTACCCCTTCCCCTTTTCTTCTTCTTCTCCTCCTCCTCTTCTACCCTCTCTCTTCTCTCCTCCTCTTCTTCTTCTCCAGACCCTGGCCCACACCCCCACCCCTCCTCCCTACCCCCTCCCCGGGGCCCGTCCCCATCCCCGACCTCCTTCGCCTCCTCCGCCTCAAGGATTTGTTGGAGAGAATTGCTCAATCTTAGACGTGGGTTATAATTTGATGGAATTAAGCAAGATTTGAGACTTGATGAAAAAATCTCCATGTAGGTGAAAACCCAGAGATGATTAGTTGTTCAGAATAATGGTTTTGATTTGGCTTAGTGGTTGAATTTTATGGTGATAGAGGAATGGACAATTGAAGTTTTTGATAAGGTAATGCTCTCTGAAGGGGTGCATTAAGATAGAATGGTGAAGCTTCTTCAAATTGCATTGAAGTGCATATACAAATATGCTGATGCTCGACCAACTATAAGCCAAGTTGCCGAGATGATACATTCATTGAAGGAAGAAGAGGATAGGTCTGTCGTGTCTGAAATTGATTCAAGAGATGCTTAAAACCGGGGAGTAGTATGTTTTCATAATGTCCTGGAATTCATGTATATGTTCCGTTTGACTATTATTATTTGCTAGTGTATATGCGTTGGTCACATATGATGAGGTGGAAAAACATTGTTTATTTGTTACACTAATGACATAGGTAGTATTAGTCCAAATGGTGCTTTCAAACTCAAATTTAATAAACGAGCATGTCTATTTTTAGTTGATTTCTTGTTTCATAGTCTCCTTGACATTAGAAATTAAATAGATTCTTGTCACATTAGTTAATGGATTGTGGTAGAGATACTAATTGCATTATTTTAAATAATGATGGGTCATCCCTGTGTTGCTAGTCCAAATGGTATTTTCAAGTTAAAATTTGACAAAACCTAGTACTGATTTCCATGAAGCGTGTACTCATAACATGTTAACTTTCAACTAAACATGTTAACGTTTATTATAACATGTTACCTTTCAGCTGAACATATTAACTTTTATCATAATTTGTTAACATTTACTATTACATGTTAACTTTCATCATAAAATATAATTAAAGATATAATAGTTATGTGTTAAGATTATTGAGTTCTTGTATATCTTTGGCAGAAAAACGAAAGGGAAAAATAAAAACAAGAGAAAGAATGAGGAAAATGTTAACTATAATAGTTATATGTTGACTTTTAGCAGAACATATAACAGTAAAAGTTAACATATTATGGTGAAAGTTAATATATTCAGCTAAAAGTTAACATGTTACGAGGAGAGTTAATATATAATGATGAAAGTTAACATGATTTATGAAGAAAGTTAACATGTTATTATGAAAGTTAAATGTAACAGTAAAAGTTAACGTATTATGATGAACGTTAACATGTTTAGCTAAAAGTTAACATGTTACGAGGAAAGTTAACATATAATGATGAAAGTTAACATAATTTATGAAGAAAGTTAACATATAATGAGATTTAATAGTGTATCGTAACTTAAAGATTATGTACATGATTTATATATATTATGTACACAATAACCTCAAGATTATGTACATATTATGTACCATAATATTCAGGTTTTGATACACATAATTTATATAAAATCTTTAATTTATTATGCACATCAAGTTATATTTGAATGAAGTTGTACATATTCACATGACAGCCACAATACATGTCACATACAATCATAATAAATCACACCAAAATTGATCACTAAATAGACATAATACATTTTATTAAATTTTGATCTAAGTACAACTAAACCACAAGAACACATAATATAATCAACTAAATAATAAAACATGACACGTTACAAGCAATTCTGGATGCAACATAAGGATCATTAGTACAACAATCTTAGAATTGATTAGTACTCACTAGAGGATGATTCGACATTCTACAACCATGAAAATTATAAATCACGTCTGAGATTAAGCCATTCTCTCCAATAAAACCATTTCTTCTCACTGAGGCATTATATCAAACACCTTGTGTGCAAGCAATCCCCATTAGTTTGGGATTCAAAGACCTATCGAATGTCTTCCCAAATCAAGCCAATATTCCTCTGCATCCCAAATCATCGCATATTCACAATCCTCATCGTCCTTCTCTTTAGATAAAACTACCAAGTTCCTTCCAATCGATTTGATAGAATTCATGCATTCGCTCAACCAGTTCCAACATCCAAAACCATTTGTTGGCCAAATGATGAGCAAAACAAGAGTCATAATAAATTGACCTAGGTATCTGACATTGGTAACCCCAATAAAAAGCATAAACATTAGGAAGTAACTGATAATGTAGCACGAGAGGACCATTCAAGTGAACAACATGTGTTGCAAGCCTCACCTTTACCACAAATAACATAAATTTTTTCATCAGTCTTAAATTTTGCTTAATTCCATCATGCAAGACGCCATTTCCCTTTCAATTCGAAATCAAGAACCAAGAAGAAGAAGAAGAAAAGAGAGATAGAGACCTCCTTCAAAGTCCCTTGCGAATCTGAAAGAGAGAGAGAGAGATTTAAGCTCAGAGCAGATGCGACGATAGGGGTGAGAGCTCTGCTGGCCATCCCAGTCGAAGACCTTGAAGTGGAGGAGGCGGAGGAGGTCGGGGATGGGGCCCGGGGAGGGGGGAGGGAGGAGGGGTGGGGGTGTGGGCCAGGGTCTGGAGAAGAAGAAAAGGAGGAGAGAAGAGAGAGGGGAGAGGAGCAGTTAGGGGAGAGGAGGAGAGAAGAGAGAGGGCAGAGGAGGAGGAGGACACATTTTAGGGTAATTTCGAAAAGTTTTTTCCTGAGAGAGTGTGAAAGGGGGCAGAACACATTTTAGGGGGCTGAAACACAAGGGAAAAACTATAGGGGGCTGGGCCGCATCCCCTTTATTTTTGGGGGGCCTAGATACAGTTTTTCCTTTATTTTATTAGTAAATTCATTTTTTATTTCATTAGCAAAATTGATCTCTTTTTTTAGTTCTTGGTAAAAAAAGAAATCAATTTTATAAAACAAAATTTTAAAAATATAAGTGATTTCTAATCCCTTATATTTAGAGGACACTAATTTAAAATAGGGTCTATTCCAAAAAAATATTTATCTATTTCATTTGGTTATATATATAGACCATGTTTAATTTGGGTATTATGGTGAGTTATTAACGTTTGGTCCTCTAAAATAAAATAGTGGAGGGTTTTGTTTATAATTTTAGGAATGTTAGTTAATTAGAATTTAAAATTAGTACTGAGATAATTAATTAGTGTAATAATATTTTATGATGTTAATCAGTTAGGACTAGAATTGAAATATTTTTAACGTGTTAATCGAGTTTAGAGGGGACTCAGTTGAACTATTTAGTCTTTTAAACTGAAATGTTTCAAAGATTTCGAATTAAGCAAAGGAGGAGGGAGGATGTTATTTTAGTCTTGGGATTATTTCCCACTTGAGGTTAGATTAAAAAAACTCATTACCCCTTTAACTTTCCTAAAATTATCTAGGGTTACCTTTTCTAATCCTTTTACTGCAATCATATCTTGAAATAAGCATACCTACTTTAAGTTTTTTTAACATGTTCATTATGTTATAGGATGCATCTGATTTTATTGTTAAACCCTAAAGAATGATACTAAACAAGCACCAATTGGTTATTCACCTCATTTAGTGCCATTTATGCTAGTGGCATCATTATGGGTGAGAGATGAAAAAGATGTCTGGCGGTTTTATGTAGTTTCTAAAATAGCAGAAGAAATCTTTGGATATTAGAATTTGGTTATAATGGGATCAATAGATAGATCTAGTTAAATTTGGATTGTAGCAAAGGAAATTATGAACATTTGCTATTATTATTATATAATTTAATGTCGTACCAATTTATAATGACAAGCTTTTAAATATGACATATGTATTCCAAGTGTTAATACTAAGTTGATCCAAACAAATTATTAAAATTATAACTCATTATAGTATGTTGAATTATTATATATGAGAATAATAATGACGAGTTTAATTAATTCCATGATGAAACAAATCCACAATTTAAGTATGGCTCTAAGGTGTTTTACATAGACTAGTGACTATGTCATGGTCCCATTTGTTTGTTGGTGTGTTTATCTTGGTAGGTAGCTAATTTAATGAAAGCCTTATTTTCTTGACCAATTTCCGACTGCTTTTAAGATATTCATTTGCTCTAGCACAAAAAAGTTGTTGTTTAAATAGTTTGCCAATTGACTCCCACCTACCACTGGTTTAATTGTTTTTAAAAAAAACATTATCAGGTGATATTCCTTTACATTCTTCATATTTCTCAATCAAATGATTGACGATGTTTAGCGGAAACTTGGGACTCATCATGAATCCAACTTATCATTTAACTTCAGTACAAAAAAAGACTTGGTAATTGTGAAGTTAACTCGTTCTGTTAAATTAGCTACTAAAAAGTAAAGATAGTGAGTCTCAATCTCTCTAATATTACTAGTAAGTAAAGACGAGCCAATGCTCACAACAATACCCATCTCTTACTCTCACTACTAAATAATAAGGCATCCTAGACGGAATTTTCCGTCTAGGATACCCAGAATTCCGTCTAGGATGTGTATTCTAGACGGAATTCGGTCTAAAATACGTGTCTAGTATATTTCCGTCTAGGATGTAGTATTCTAGACGAAAATTCCGTCTAGAATACATCCTAGACGGAATATTCGAGACGAAATTCAAAACCATCTAGAATACATCCTAGACGGATTATTCTAGACGGAATTTCCGTCTAGAATAACGCATCCTAGACGGAAAAAATTTCCGTCTAAAATGAGTATTCTAGACGGAAATTTCCGTCTAGAATACTCATTCTAGACGGAATTTTTTTTTTCTATTTTTCTTTTAAAAAAGGCATCCTAGACGGAATTTCCGTCTATGATACTTTGCTATAGTAGTTTTTTTTTTGGCAGGACCTACTTTGCACAGCATATAATATCACATGTACACAATATAGCATAACATCAAATCATATTCATATCTAATTATATTCAACACAATCTCATTATATTCCAATATCAAATTCAATTATATTTAAATAATACATTCACCAAAATATTAAAGCGATACATAAATTGTTGACATAGATCCAAAATACTCTATCATTATTGGTTGTGCTTTAAACAATCTTTCTTGTGCTGCTTCTCTCTCCATCCTCTCCTTATCTTCCATTATTCTCTGCATCTCTATTTCATGTCGTATCAAACTCTCCAATTGGAAAGCCTCAGGCTGTGCACCGTTTTGGTTCAGGTTTCTGTGGTATCTAAATAGTAGAAAATAATAATTAGAATATGTTAGGAAAAAGTAATGAAAATGAAACGCATGAATTGGTCCTTACCACTGGATAGTCTGTAGTGTAAGGATAATGGTTTGCCTTAGTCACTCGAGCCTTCTCCTCCTCCAACTTCATGTCTCCCAAACTTCATTCACTACTTGTACCAGGTTCATGTCTATTAGATAATATATAGAGAGTAAAAGGAGCAACATGTATAAACATGACAGATGCAAGCAACTTCTAGGTTCAAATATTCAGATTTCGAGAGTATACAGTTGATCATTCGTTAACATCTTAATTATTAAGAACGGAAAGAACTTTACCGATGCAATGATGATGACTGTTCCATATCTCCAATGAATATGTTTGCATTTGGTTAAGAATATATCTGTTTGCTACTCTAGTATAAGAGCATAATAAACTACAGTATAAAAAGGCCTAATTCTATTTTATGTTATTATGTGTATTAGAGAAATAGATGCAGTGAACTAGTCTCCACGGTACATTGGGGAGCATCAATTAGCAAATTTTTCAATAGTTTTCTGAGTTTTTTGCACAACTAGAAGAGTAGATATGCATTTGAAGACATGAAACACTAAGTATTATGATAATTAAGAAAAAACTTTTATCTTTTATTTATAAGGCAAACCCTAATCAAATACTTGTTCGAAGAAAAAGAATGCAAACTATTTTAACTAAGAAACATGGAACTACTCTAGTTAACTTCAATAATCAAAGGTCAAAAATCCAAACCTTAGGTCCAGAAAATCACAATGTCCATGACGAAAAAACTATACTAGAGAAAAACACATCAGAAGAGCTCATGGAAACAATTAACCATCACTGCTCGCCTTCTCTTTCTTACATCAACAGCAAATGGAAACCCCAATAGAGATAAATACAATATGCATCAAGAATTGCAAAACTATATGATAACCAGAGGTTGCTAATCAGACTCGCCAAAGCTATAAGCTCACACAACTAAGGCCCACATGGAACACTCATGACACAGATATATTCGAAAGCCAGTAACGTACCTCTTTCTCCTTCAATACAGCAGCATAACTGAATGCCAATTCTTTAATTTCAGCTTCAGATGCTAGAAGCCTCTGAATATCTGCCTTGTATTTTGAAATCTGCAACATGTGATTCTATTAGAACAAATCAAAATGGTCATTAACAATCAAAATGGTCATCAAGAATTGGCATGCAACATTGCACATCAATATATCATATATAACTCTGCAATGCAATGTTTTTAGGCACATGTAACTATTACATATTTCTTATCTCCTTCTGCTGCCAAAAATTAAAAAGCATCCATGAGCCATGAGATCTCACTATTCATAATCCCATTTTTGCTTGAAGAATTTAGACGTTTCTACTTTAGCAGAAGGCCAACCCCTGTTACTCTATGTGAATATCTCAAATTGGAAACTCAGAAATAGGGTACAATATGTCACAAATATGGGATGCATAAATTTAAAAGAGCACAAGGCTAATATAGATGTACATTTTACACATTATAAAGAACATGAGTCACATTATGTACATTTACAAACCATATCTATTGCTTTAGCAAAATTGGTCATGTATTCCTAATTTGCGATTTACCCTCGCTAAAATTTCTATGTTATACCATATGGTTACCCTCGCTAAAGGTGCTATGTATATCATATGGTTTCAGCTATGATCGTGACCGTGACAATAAAGAAAGAATTCATATAGATGAAAGAGCACATCAGGAGTCCAAGCCCGTCTCTAGAGCCCGGAGCAATAGCTGCAGCCCAAGTCCGAAAAGAGGACCTTCTGGGTGGGGCCGGAGCAGGAGTCGGAGCAGGAGCATTGACCGGTATGGAAAGTCAACAACAGAAAACAGACACTCACCCATTCGTGGTCAACCTTCTCGTCGTTCACCTGCATCGTATGATGATGGAGAGATCAGAGATGATCAACTTCATCGCTCAGAAATTCCAAGTGACGATCCTGCCCCTTATGTTGATAACGAACGGCGAGAGGCTTCTCCTAGTCCTATTAGTTGGCATCAGAAATTTCAGAACCCTAGGCCATCAAATGATGAACCTGTTCGACCACAGAGATCAGCTACTGGTGGTGATGAAGCAGAGGAAGGGATGATTATGCCGGAAGAGGAAGAAGGAATGATACATCCGGATGAATGATTCCCCAAAGTGGGAATTAACCCATCTTAGGTTACCGGCGTTTATTTTGGATATGTGGTGTCACCTAGGCTCATAGTATGGGTCCATTTTGTCATCAGCAGCGGGTGCTGTTATATTTTGGATGTATGTAATATCACTCATAGTATGGGTCCATTTTGTTGACAGCAGTGGCTGCTGTTGGAAACAATGCAACGTTTACTCTAGTTGTGTACTTACTGTATGTACTTTGTGCTCAGCCTTTTGATGAAGTCTTGTTCCGAGGCTAGAAGAGGAAGCTTTGCTCTTAATTTTTGTTTGTGCTCTGATTTAGTAGCGACTTTAGCAACTCAATTCTTTTATTTTTCCACGACAGTTGACTCTATCAATCAAAATTCTAGTGCGGAACCGAATGAGGATGAGCTCACGCAAATTCCCATAAAATACCGGGCATGAGCTAACAGCCTAACAGCGAGCCGTATACTAGCGATCATGTGGATCTTACCGCTCATTTAACCATTTTGCTAAATGAGCGTCCAGAATACCAAACTAAATAAACCATTAACTGCAACCATTTCAACATCAAATTCATCCCAATCGAACATCAAGATCGTATCTTTAGGCCCTGGTCTAATTAGAACCTAGTACATTTTCAGTGTCCATTTACATAATCAATCTCAAAACTAAGGGTGTGTTTGGGAACTTGGATTTGGGCTTGGATTTAAAATCCAGGGTATTTCAAATCCAAATATCTAGTTTGGGTTCTGATTTGGGCCTAGATTTTAAATCAATTAATTTAACAAAAGAGGAATTTGAAAGCCCAAAACCACTGATTTCAAATTTAACCCCACCCTATGTCATTTATCAAATCCCGACCCGATAGGAATTTTCGCGATCCCCTCTCTCTCTCTCTCTCTGGTTTCGATCTCCCCCTCCGCCTCTCCCCTCGCCGTCGCCTCCCCGCACCGTCGCCTCCACGCCTCCCTGCGCCCGCCTCTCCCCCTCTCCCGGTCGCTGCTCTCTCCTCTGAATTCAAGCTCACGGTCCTCTCTCTCCTGCTGGTTTCACTCACAGGTAAAGTGCTCTCTGCTCCACCTCCACCCGCCCCGCCCGCCGTCCGCCTCGCCGCGATGCGCGCCTCCCGCCCGCCGGTGCCCCGCCGCCTCTCCCCTGCCTCTCCGCCTCCAATTTTGAAACCCTAGATCTGATCTAGGGTTTATATAGTGTTAATAATAATTTTGTTTGATTGAATTGTTGCAGCTATTTAGCCCCAAAACAATTGCTAAATACATTGGAATGCTATTCTAATCTGGGGGAAAAGAATCAACACTATCTAGTTCATACAATTTAGTTTGCTCTTATAATTTTACCAAGAGAATCATTTAAGTAGTCGGTTTTAGTTTGTTTTTTTTTAATTTTATATAGCTAGCTACTTAATCAATCGATTTGGGCCTCTATAGGTGAAATGTATAGGGGAATGTTAATGCCTGAAGACCTCTTAACTGGCATGGATGAATGATAGATCAACACTGGGAGGGGAAATGAAAGAATCAATGAAAAATTTGTTGACCGTGAAAATGCCAAAATTGCATTTAGGTTCAGAAATTTTTTGAAGTAATATATTTTGAGAAGGCTTTTAATTAAGAGAACTTCTAGTCCACATGCAGAATCACCAAGACTTTACTTGGATTTAAATTCTTCTGTTCAATTTTTGTTTATCTAATCTTGTTTATGACATACATACTGTATGTTAAATACTTTGGTCATCTTTATCCTGTGGTAGGACTTGTGATATTTCTGATTACCAATGATTTTTTGGGTCTATTTGCAACCAAATATGCCATAATGTCTAACAAAATAATTACTATAGAATTTTCAGACTCCCAAGTCTCCATACAAGTTGTAGAGTAGAGACCTAATTTCTATCCAAAGTTGAACGACCAACATTCTTTTCATGGCTAGCATTCTTTCAGTACAATGTTTAACTTCCATGGTCCTCTATTGTATTATATAATTGATACAAAACTACGTCCAAATTCCAATCCAGGACTCCCAAGTCTTTAAGTCTTTTTTTTTATTCTCTTTCCACGCCCTTCATTATTCTTTGAATTATAAAGAAAAAAGACATGTCCCCTAAGTCTTCAGAGTCATACAGGACACTTAGAAATGTAAGGAATTGTTCGGCATTAGAAATAGAAAATACTTGTGTTACTGTTTCCTGCCTACCTTGGAATTTATGAACTTATGGGTAGCACCCGAGTCAACTTGGACCATGCTTGTTTTTCAAGTGTAGCAAGCAAAGAAAGAGGGTTTTCTTTTGACCAGACTCTTAGCCTAGTCAATTTGTGTCTGAATAGGCTAGTTTGAGTATCTATGGTCAAGTATTTCTTGACCCTTGAAATTTTCGGGGGCTAGTAAAAATGCCAAAAGGCCAAGCCAAGTTCGATCACACTGTGGTGTAAACCTTCATCTTAAGGTAAAAACAACATATCCTAATCCACTCATCAGCCAGTCATTCCCCCTTCACCTCTGTTTAGTCCATTTAGTGAGCAGGTTTTTGTTTAGTTTTTGGTATTGTACTCGTTCAAGCCCGAGTTCTTGAATTGTTTATTTCAATACAGATTACTTACATTTAGAAATGTAAGGATTAAACAAAACAGCGATTTAGAATTGTCTATTTCAATACGGAAACATGGAATGATTTGCTAGTATCACATCTAGAGAACGTGTAGATTAACTGGATACATGACATCATTCTTTATTGATTCTTTGGCCACCCTGTTGGCATCAATGAGAGGATCTTGATTGTCATCAGTGCTTATATGCTTATGTAGCTAAATGCCAAGTTACTAGAACCGAAGTATATAATGCTAGTGCGATTGCAAGTTTCTTGATCTTGACAAGTACCAATTTTAAACAAAGACCAAGCCTACCCACCGCAGATTATCCGACGGTTAGAAATGTAGGCCCCGTTTGGCAAAGGGTTAAGGAAGAGGGATTATGGAGAAGATAATGGATAGCAATCCGGAAAAGTTTTATTTGTTGAAGTCACTTCCTGATGATGAAAAAAGAGATTTTATTCTCTTTATTCTTAAGGAGTAGTTTCTAGTTTTCAGGTCGGACTACTTTTCTTCATATCAATGTTATTCTTCACAATATTTTTAACCGAATATTTCTAATTTTTTGATGATTTCTTATGAATGCATTAGGGTTTTGTGTACTATTTTTTCCTTTTTTATTCTTTTTTTTCGCTTATCTCTTCTATTTATTGGTGTTTTGCAGTATAGGAAGGAGCTGAGCGGTTTTCTTGAGACGCCTCTTGGCAGGGGATTTGCTGTGAGTTCTTATCCTATGCATCATTTTTAGTACTTGATTGATTTTTTAATGTGAAAAATCAAATGATTGATTTGTTAATGTGAAAAATCAAATTTCTACACCTTGTCAACTCGTATAATATTAATAGCTTTAACTATTTGACTGATATAATTATCAGGATTTCCATATTAAGGAGGGAGGGGGGGGGGACATATATCATATCTGTAAGAGAGCCAAGTATAATATTAATGCATGTTGAGTTTCTAGTTTAGGTGTATTATTAGTGAATAGCAAGAGCAGTTCTTTATTTGGGTGGACTTCCTTGCCTCTTAGTGCGGTTCACCAATAAGATGTTTCAGACTGTTAATTTGATGAAATAATTTGGCAACAGTCTCCTGTACTCTGGCGGCATGTTGGGTGTTTAGAAATGTGTGATTTTATTTTGTAAAATTGAAGGTCAAGCATAATTTAGGAAGTAAAGTAAACTAGTAAATATGAGTAAACTTTAGAAAATATATGTAACGAGCACAAATCCCTGCAACGAGTAAATATGAGTAAACTTTTGAAAATATATGCGATGTGTAGAAATCCCTGCAGATCTGGTGGGTCAAAGTACGGAATATAAGCAAATTTGGCTGAACTAGAAATACACCTAAACTTCTCTTGTGCAATCAGGTAATATTTTTATGTGAAACAAATCAGATAGGACAAAATCTGTGTTGATCTCTTTTATGTACTACATCTGCAGAAGGCTCTGTGTTATCCAAGCAAGTGAATACTATTGCAATACGGGGGTTAATTTCTGGATACTGTGTTTGCGTTGTGCACTATGGTGCTATTTGGTTTGTGAAAACTCGCAACTGTTACTGAGCGATTTGCCAGAAATATATATATTCCAGTTTATTTTACTGCAATTGTGATTTTTTTCAAATCAAATAGCACCACAGTATAGGAAGGAGCCGAGTGGTTTTTTTTCGCAGGTCAAGCGTGATATTGTGCTGAGCGTGTTTGTGCTTTGGTCTCACCTTTTTCGGTTCTCATTGTCATTTGATATAGCTTGCTGCTTTGTCGAATGATTGTAGCTTATATGTAAGGGTTAATTGCATATACTCTCTGTGGTATCGTTTTTAAATAACAACCCCTGTAGTGTACATTGTTGCAGATGTGCCCTTGGGTTAAAATTGTGACTGTTTTACCCTTGGACTTACTAATTTCTAGCTGAAGTCAAACAAAAGGATATTGGATTCGGTTTGATGTTATTTGGACCTTCTCTGTTCTCTGAGCTTATTGCCAGAAGTAGAAGGAATTGTTTTTGTATGTTGACAAATGATTCCTATGAAGTTTCTTACTTTTGGTGTTTGCATTGGTTAGCTGATATATTGTACTGAAGGTGGTTGTGCTTTGGTCTCACCTTTTTTGTTTCTCATTGTCACTTGTTGTGGTGTTTGCTTCTATGGTGAATGATTGTGGCTTATAGTATACTCCAATATATTGGTATCTGATGGTTTGTGGTTTGGTACATTTGCTCTTTTAAATTCAAATTCATGTATAATAAAGTACCCAAACACTAGATTTTGAAATCAAAGATTTTAAATCCTTTTATTTAATAAAGATATCCAAACAAAAGATTTCTTAAATCATGGATTTCAAATCCTAAATTTTTATTTAATAAAGATATCCAAACAAAAGATTTCTTAAATCATGGATTTCAAATCCTAAATTTAAAATCCTTTGATTTTAAATCAACTTCTCAAATCCAAATTAAAGTTCCCAAACGCAGCCTAAAGGAAATTCGAAACTTCAAAGTTGAAAGGGGTTGGGATTGAGAAATATTAGGGTTTCGATTGAGCTCATTACCATAGAGATCGACAAGGCGATCTAAGCATTGATTCGTGAAGTCCTCGTCGAATCCGAACTCGATTGCTAGAAGCCTCTGAATATCGCTGGTGGAATCTGAGCATCGGGGCGAAGATCACCTTGTCGTAGCCGCGGCGGAAGCGGCCGGAGGAGGGTGGTGCAGACGCGGATCTGGAGGTGGCCAGCGGAGGAGAGGGCGGACTTGACGGAGCGCATGGCGGAGACGAGGTGGGCGATGAGGTTCCTGTCGGCGGTGGACATGATCTCGTTGCGGGGAGGAAGGGAAAATTTGGGGGGAGGAAGGGAAGGAATTAGACAGAGAATTTTAGGGGGAGGGTTCCTGTCAGCGGAGGAGAGGGTTTCTTATTACGATTTTGGGCCGAAAATATAGGGGGGAAATTTGGTGTTTATTTTTTTATACGAGCCAAAATATCCTAGACGGAAATTTGGATACATGGTCATCTTAAAAAAAAAATTAAAAATAAAAAAACCGTCTAGGATACTATCCTAAACGTAAATTTTCGTCTAAGATATTTTATCCTAGACGGAATATTCTAGATGAAAATTTTCCGTCTAGTTTAATACAAACTAGACGGAAAATTTTCCGTCTAGAATATTCCGTCTAGGATAAACGATTTTTTACTAGTGTCTATAGACCCTATATATTATATTAATTAAATAAATTAGATAAAACCCTCTTAAAAATTGGGGCCCATTGTATTGACCAATCTTATTTATTCGTCTATGCAATTGTAAAAATTATCTACAATTTAAGACGCAGAGGGTCTATTCAATTGTACAAAGCTACAATAAACGCACATGAAAGTAGGAAGGTACGTGCGAAAAATGGCTAAATTTATATGAAAGTAGATACATTACAAAAAGATATAAATGCATTACATCAACGATAGGTATAAATATTTATATAAAATAATTATAGACATCTTTGAAAGATGGATAAACTAGTAAAAATAGATAAATACATAAGCTAGAAATTTTTTATATGAAAGATAAGTAGAAACATATGAAAAATATAACATTACATAAAATGTGAACATATTTTATAAAGGTGGAATTTTTTTTATATTGATAATAGCAGCGAAAGATGGGGAACACGAAGGGAGACACCAACATAGGAAAAATTCTCAGATGCCGGAGCACCAAGGCACAGCAAAACATATGCAAATGAGAAGGTGGTGGGATTAAACAATTTTTCTTATGGTACGAGTTCTACTCCTATTGGCGTGGTGTATGTAGCACAATGCCCATGGAGCATCTAAGAATTTACAATACTATCTATATCGGCAATTTTATATTTATTTTATATATCCTTAAATCAGGTGTATGTACAGAAATATCCCCAATCTCAACATTTACAATACTATCTATATCGGCAACATCAAAGAGGATACACATGTGAATTACTAATCATAAACTTTGTTGGATAGGATGAGTAAAAATTTGACTATTTTTTACATTGTACTCACAAATAAGTATATAAAAGTTGATTTTTCATCGATTTGAAATATTTTTGTAAGGGTTAATTGCAAATATACCCTTTATTATCATCTAACTTTATTATCATCTAATTATGGATAGACTCTCCATAGTGTTGCGTAATTGCTGATAGATCCATTGTAGTTCCATTTGTGCAGATAGATTCTAGAGTGAATTTTTTTGACTCTTAAATGAGTAAAAAAAGATTTAGAAGGTAATAAACCCCCTGAAGTTCTATTTTTATTGCTAAATTTGTTAACACTCTTTTTTTATCGCTTTTTAACACTTAAAAGTGTCAAAAAGGTTCATTAAGGATCTCTGTATGCAATGAGCAAATAGCACAGAGGTCTATCTACACAAATTGAACTATAAGTATCCATCGCACAATTAGGTCATAGTTAAGGGGTGTCTTTGCAATTTAGTTTTGCAAATAATAATATTTAGAAGGTAATTTTGCAAACACACGTCCCTCGAGAGAGAAAGATACCCAAAAACCCAAAGAAGAGTTATTTTTCTTTGTTCCAAAAACCCAAAGAAGAGTTATTTTTCTTTGTAGTCCCTTAAATATTTCCTCTTTTGGAGCCCTCAAATCATTATATTACTATTAAGTCCCTCAATTCTTAAGATATTTTAAAATTAATTCCTAAAATCATTGAAATTGTGGTTATGTCCCCCACTTCCATGTTATTTGACATTAATCCCTCTAATAAAGAGTGAAAGTAGTAATTAGGGAGAAATTTGATCTTCAAAGTGTTGGAAATTATGGTTAAATCTGGAATTAAACAGTGAAAGATGATGTGCTGTAATTTTAAACTTTTTCAAGTTAACTACCGTGCGTTTGTGAAACGCTGTGCTTAAAGCAATATTTAGCCTACTCCGGTACAAGGATCCCAAGACCAAGCTGCTTCTAGGAACAACAATACAGTATTCTGGTGTGCACTAACCTAGTAATATCAAGATCTCCTCGATCTATAAGACCTTTCGGTCAAGGTAAAGATCTCCTCGATTTATAAGACATTTTGGTCAAGGCAAAGATCTTCTCGATCTCAGAACCTTTCAGTTCAAAACCTTTCGGTTTCAGGGTAAGTTCCCGCGGGCACAGTTTCTGCAGCAGCAGCACAACAACAACAAAAACGTCAAGATCTCCTTGATCTGACGTTCGTTTTCCAAACTTGCACGTGTATATCTATGAGCTACTCAAGGACACTATTTATAGGCCTCTAAGGCTAGCTCAAAAGTCACTCGTAATTAATGTGACTGTTACAATTTTTAATGACAATTAAGATTGTAACATCAATGCATCAAATTACTCTGAATGTTGTTGTAACTGCTGCATGCAGTAACTCCTAAATATGAGGCAATAAATGGACGCCTTACTATGAAACCCGAGGGTTACATCTCAGCAAATCAGATAAACTTCGTCTGTAGGACGAACCTCGTCGAATGGGCGAACCTCGTCAAATAGGCGAACATCGTATGACAGACGAACCTCATCAAACAAGCGAACCTCGTCAAACAAACGAACCTCGTATGACAGACGAACCTCGTCAAACGAGCGAACCTCGTATGACAAACGAACCTCGTAGAACGAGCGAACCTCGTCAAACAGGTGAACCTCGTATGACAAACGAACCTCGTTGAATGAGCCACAGCCCACGACCCACGAACCTCGTCGATTAGCCTCGATCCCCGGCCCATTGGCCCACGACCCACGACCCACTAGAACTTATGAGGGATTAATTAAAATAAAAAACTTCTCGGCTTGCTCGAACAAGTGACCTTTTGAAACACCGAAACATTAACTTTCCACTAGGCTACTAAGCACTTATAAAAAATACTTGTAGTTAATATATATAGTTTGAAAACTCATTCTTGGAAAGCGGTTTTGACCAAAAAATCCAACACAAAGCATCAAAATTTTTCTTAGGCCCTAAATTTTTATAACTTATTTCAAATTAATAGCTCTAATTGCTAATTTCTACTATTGACTTGAGGGATAAATTTCACAAGAACTTAAGAATTAGGGACCTAATAGTAATTTTAATGATTTGGGAGACTAGTTCCAAAAATAGCTTAAGAAGTGAGGTACTTAGTATCAATTTTAGTGATTTAAGTGACTAATTTTACAGTACGGAATATTTATAAGGGACTAATGACGAAATAAATCCTTAATAAAAACATAACATAATATTTCTCACCGGATTCTCCAAATTAACCAAGGAAAAACTGAACGAAAAAACAAAGTAGGGTCAATTTTGCGATAATAATTCACTTAAAGGGGAAATATAAATAGTATATAGGTAGGGGTCTATACCGAAAAAGCCAACAATATATCGTCACTCTCCCTGGCCCTTGAGTTGGAGAACTCTCGAGAACCAGCAGAGAGAAGGAGCGAGCGCTCGGTGTTGGAGATCGCAAGCGAAAATGGCGACCGTGATGCAAAAGATCAAGGACATCGAAGATGAGGTACTTCTTTCTTGTCTAAAATCAAACCCTAGATAAATTCCCCATTCTTAAACCCTAATCTGCGTCCATTTTAGTCTCTAAGAAACTATATTATATCTTTGCCCTAGCTAGGTTTTTAGTGGTGCTGATGTTAGGATAGGTTTCGTTGGATATCTGCACCGAATAAAGATTTGAATTTTGTAAGATTTTGATTTGAATCCGTAATTTGTAGGCTACAACAAATTCCGATTCCGTATAATCTGCGATCTAGAACCTCTGAAAATCTCCCTGCTCTAGAACCCTAATTTGTCTCTCAGTTTGTTGGTGGTGATTTTGGGATAGCTTTTGTTGGATAGATGGACGGAAGAAATGTTTATTTTTTGATATTTTGATTGAAATCTGCAGCTAAGCTGATAGAAATGCTGCAATCATTACTCAAATAATTTCCTTTGCACATTTTTTTTTTGAAATTTTATTTTATTAGTGGTTCATTTTGTGTCACAACAGTTAAAAGTTTGCGATAATTCGGATTTCATCTCGAAGAAACGGAAGATCTGCATGAAATTATCCATGACAAAAACTATAATCATTGTAAACAAAGTATCCCCAGTATTCTGATTTTCTGATGTTCACAACATTTGCGTCTCCGAACTGAGGAATCAGAATTTTGAAAAACCCTCTTAATGGTAGCTATCCTATCATTAATCCACTCTAAAGGATAAAAGTAACTAGGACAATGGAAAATGGAAGATCCTTATGATCAAAGTCAATCATAATCAGTTCTTTTTCTTGATAAGAATTCCCTTTTTCAAGTAGCAAATATATTTTTTTTTTCCGGAGGGAGATATACCAAAGTACGCTACTTTTCCCATCAAATTAAACCCTAAATGTCATGCAAAAATGTAATAAATAAAATTCTCCTTTATCAGATCTCTCTTTAGTTTGACATTGCTGAAAAATGTGTACAATCAAGGTCCAAAACTAATGTGATTTGATCAATTCTTCACAACCTTCTACCTTTGCATCCTATTTCTTATGAAACCACTAGACCTATCTAACTCAGCAAGAGGTACAAAAATTAGAGAGAGTTGTTTATTAGACAACACCACAGGATGATGGTTAATCAATCAAGTTTTACCTGATTAAATGATCACTTATTACAAGAATTTCACACCTCATTAGCAGGCCTTCTACATTGGAAGTCAATCTTTAACACAACGCTATTCCAACTACCTGAGATCTTTTAAAGTTTATCTGAAAAATGTCCCTCAGATTACATTAATAAGGATCACATTCACAATCTTAGCAAATGCCAAACCTTCAACTTCTGTTCTCTGTCTTTTGTTTTTTTATTTATATGATCTTTTAAAAGAATTCTGGCCTCACATTATTGTTATTATCTGGCAGATGGCAAGGACACAAAAGAACAAGGCGACAGCCCACCACCTTGGTTTACTTAAGGTGACATTTCTGTCTTTTATCTATCCTATTAATGTTAATTGGTTCTAGGCCATCTTAGTAAAGTATGCACATCTAGAACTTTTGCTTAGTATGTCCTTCTCTTAATTTCTTTCTGAAGCCATTTTAATACATTGTTCTAATTTCTAAATATGGCAATGCACCTTACTAAAAATATATCAGACATCTTAGAGACTTTAGTACTCACTTTGGATGCCGTTAGTTTTTTTATGAAGGTTGAAAATCTTGATAGTGTACTTTATCTTATCCATAGAGGACAAAAATTCTCGGAATTTAAATTACCTTGCACTGTTTGAAATTTGAATTTAAATTATGTTGCGTTATTTATCTTCTAGATATATTTTTGCACGCATCTAGATATATTTTTGCACGCATCTTATACTTTTAGAGAATAGGCATTAGGTTTTTGGAAAGCTTTTATGTCATTACAGCAACAAGCACGACATATTGATTTGGTGTTATATTTTTAAGGCTAAACTTGCTAAGCTACGTCGAGATCTTTTGGCTCCTCCATCGAAAGGGGGTGGTGGAGGTGCTGGCGAAGGATTTGACGTTACTAAAAGCGGAGATTCTCGTGTTGGTTTGGTTGGATTTCCTTCAGTTGGAAAATCAACGCTTCTGAATAAGTTAACCGGAACCTTTTCTGAGGTATGTTGGTGATCTCGAGGATACACATTGCTGTGTATACGTTTTATTATCTCCTTTATTTTTTAGTGTAAAGGATAAATGCAAGTACTTAACCTGAGAGAACATTTCTTGCTAGTGAGTATTTTATTACTGAATGTCTTTTCAGTGTAATAGACGTCATGACTCTGTATCCAATTGTTATATTTTTAGTTGATCTAACTCTTAAAAGTTGCTCCATTCTTAACAAACCATGCTTTGTTCAGATGGAAAAGAGCAGAAAAAAGAGTCATCAACTATTTTGTGGGGACACTAACTTCAAGCATGTACTTTCATTTTCCATGTAAATGAAATAAAAATTTAGTTTATGCGATTTATTTTGTTTGTTAATATTCCACCTTTAGGCTCGCAATGATTGTGATATGAGCAATAACTGGCCTAGGGTTTCTTTTCACATTTCTGAAGCTGGTCCCTTTCAACATTGATATGCTTCAGATGATCTTGCATAGGGTGGTGGCCTTCATCCCAAAAGGCTCCATCTCCATTGATTCTATCTATGGTACACAGCTGTTTTGGGCTGTTCAAACCAATCTATATGCTAATAGACTTGAGCTAGCAATAGCTGTTTATGTGCTATCTTGAACTGTAACTCCTGTTATGACGCTGATGCCTTTTATTTTGGGGTATAAAGAACTCAGCTTGAGGGAGCTGCCTTATTCAAGTTAGCTTCAAAATTTAATAAAGCTATTCCAGTTTGGCTTGGCTATTTCTCAAGCTTAAGTTTCATTTCTTGGCAGTAGCCTTCTGCAATTGGAGGTTTAATGACTATGGGCCTTTGATGTAGAATCATTACTATTTGTTTGCTCTTATTCTGTCCAAAAGGAATATATAACTTAAATTGTAAACATACATTGGGGGAAAAAAGAACTATGAGGTCCATTGTTCATATCAGATTAAATCACAGCTCAATGTACTTGGTCACTTACTAAACTCATACATGAAAATTTGTTTGCTAAATTCTGGGATTGGGTGTATCTGACATATGTCCACTAATTGTTAGAGCATTGCAGTACTTGATAGGTGGTGCGACTGCTTGCATCCTGTAGTCATATATCTTTTATAAATTACTTCAAATATGTGCTTTTAGCAGTGTCTAAATATTTTACAATTGCCATTGCGCTCTCAAAACATATTTATGAGAATTAAAAGAAGACAAAGAAAAAGAAAAGAGATGATCTGCAAATTCGTGGAGAAGGAAGTTCTTAGTTATATTTTTTGCTTTGTTATAAAATTTAAATGATCACTTTATTGTGTAATCAGTATGTTAAAGATTTCTCTCTCTGTAAGCATGTTGCTGTGTGGCTCACACACACTTATTTGTTGATAGTTCTTAGACTAGTTATGTGACGGCTCATTTGTGGAGTGTTGTATGTATATTCCAAGTCAAGTGGCTCTTTATGTAAATTGCTATAAACTTGTCCTTGATAATTTCTTTATAATTTGGATAGGAATCTATTATTTGATATCATTACATGTTTCACAATATTAACAGGTTGCCTCATATGAATTTACTACATTAACTTGCATTCCTGGTGTGATCACATATAGAGGTGCCAAGATTCAGGTAAATTCTGGTTGCTCAATGCTATACTTTTTATTCATACAATTTAGTCTCAACTTGATGCATTTAAAGTTAAACAACACCTATCAATCCTGTTTAGTAATCGAGAAATTATATCATTTTCCTGTTTCAGTTGTTGGATCTTCCAGGGATTATTGAAGGTGCAAAAGATGGAAAGGGTCGAGGAAGACAGGTGGGTTCTCCTTTTTTTGGATGTATTCTGTATGCTTCTTTTCTGTTATAGTGATTCTGACATGCATGAACAACTTGATCTTGTTGGCAAATCATAATAAAATTCAGATCGACATTCATGGAGTACTGTTGAGTTTGTTCTTATGTTTTAAGTTCGCCACATAAAGAACAAGCATAACGTGTTACATAAATCATATTTCTGAAAGAGGATATAATTTGTCTGTAGCTTGTTGTTTGGTGCCAAACATTATTTCCCTTTTATATAAGAAGTTGACCTATTCTTTGGTGAGCCAAGAATTGGTTGCTTTTATTCATATTACAGGACATGGGGCACATGTGTACAGTATCTGGGAAGTTTACATGCTTGATACAGAAACCCTTCGAAGAATCTGACAATGCAACATGAGCATATTTTGTGAAATGCTTATGCAACTAAGTGTATAACTATGTATAAATGAGTAATCAGCTACATAAATTGTGTCAGAACTCAATATGATGTAATCTTAGATATTTATCTGGTAAATTCTATTTATATCATGGTAAAAAAACTGCGACATTACATTGCAGTTGTGATATCAACATTGTTTCATTATTTATAGTGTTCTAGATTGTCCTCCAAAGTCCAAACTCCAACTGTCCTGGTGTCGGACATGTCGAAAGGCCGGCAGTTGAAACTGTCAATGCATTTATCTAGAAACTGGTTTCGTGGCTAATCTTATTAACTGAATTTTTAGAGATTCGGTATAAACATGGACTCCTTTACTTTCCCCTGTTAGAATGAATGGACAAAACTGAGCATGACTTAAATGAAATAAGCCTGAAACTGATTAACCTAGTGAAACTGTGAAAGATTGCCGGTCATTTTACTTGAATCTGTGTGGTAGAAGATGTAGGCCCTGGAGAATGCCTTCTCCAATTGTAAATGGCATACTTGATACCCTATTACGGGGGTAAAAGGAAACAGGTGAATCCATATTTTGATGTTAATGCAATTTATCATTTTAGTGATGTACTAGATTTGAGCCGTTTGAGTGTTACCCATGCTCCAGTTTTTCCACGTGATGTGCTTTTCACCTATTTGCACCAAGTATTCCCTGATGGTGCTAGATTTCTTGATTTCTTGAAGCTTATGTTCTGCCTATAATTTTTTGTAATTTACAGTATTATAATATTTATCAATGCTCAAACATACTTGTAGTCTCAGAACTATGCTCAAACATACTTGTAGTCTCAGAACTATGTTTCATTATTTAGTGTCTGTGTAGTCCATATACGAACACTTCAACTGTGTTTTATGCTTTGGAATCTTACGCATAAAATTAACAGAAGAGTTAGTTTGTGCGGGGGATTTTATTTATTTATTTATTTTTTGGGTGTGTGTGGGTGGGTGGGT